CCTCTAGGTGCTTCAGTAGAAGTATACGAACCTGTTGGAAATGGAGACACAGAGAGTTGTGGACCCACGAGCCCTCCATTTCGTCTAGGTCACCGACACGAGTGAGTGAGTGTTTATTGTCCTGCAAAGTCTATAACTATGTAAGGACATGTAGGTATTTTTGCCTATAGGCTGGGAGTATCTATGCCTCGGGTAGTGTACTCCCTCCTATGCCTCCTTCGCGACTTCTTTCCAGTACTTATACCCCCACAGGTTTTTATTCGAGTACACACTAAGAGGAGCCGTTATCCCGGCATTATCTCCCCTCTCCAGCCAACGAAACGATGGCCATTTGCAGGTGTGTAGCTGCAGGGAAAAGTCTCAAAAACTACTGGGTGCGGGGCTCTCCCATGACGAAGAGGCCGGCCAGCCGGGCGCAGCAGACCTGTGTATACCTAAGAGCGTCTCTCAACCTTCCTAGCCTCCTTCTTCCTCCTCCCTTGATTCATGACGCAGGACAAACCGAAGGTCGTCAAAGGATGTCGGAAAAGTCTTAGTCGAGAGTGACTGTCGTGAAAGAGCCTAGCCTAGCATCTAAAAATCGTTACGGACGTGGAGTCGTCGGATAACTCATGTATTTCAGATGCCCTCCCAGCTAGTATATTCAGAATTAAAGGTTAGAAGGTACGATATAATCGACGAGTCGATATCTGCATTTCTTGAAGGCAGAATGGTCTTATGCTTTGCTTTCATGGGCCTTTTGTTTGCGCGAGGGTGGGTAGCACATGTTGTGATATAACGAGGGCTTCTCTGACTACCGTTGTAGCGTTTGGTACCGCATTATCCTTCCTCATTCCTAGCATCATTATCCTCGTCTTTCTCGTCTTATGTATCATCGGAAGTGTATCTTTGACGGGGGGGAGATAACTCAGCTCAAAGCTGATAAGGTGTAACTCAATCTCGGCTCTGCAAATTCTACAGTGAGAGCTGGAGGTTCGTAGGGGACACTACCGACAGGTGTTGAGAGTAGTCCCCCTCCCCGACACGATCTTGTGTGTATTTAAGAGGTTGGAATGGGTAATATGGTAGCGCTTCAGGCTACTTATGAGGTTTCTGGGCGCGCGTTGTGTACCTAGTAAATAGTGGGGTGGGTGTAAGAATGGTACCACGTGGCATCTAACTACAATAGATCTTGTGTAGAGCTTGGGACTAATACGTGAATTCTATATCCTTTAAGTGTAGGATATCAATACGCTTATATATATCAATAATTGTTTGGAGTAGGTCCTGGTCAACGATTTCTAGCCTAATTGTGCTATGTTGCAGCCTACTGTTCCAATTATTCATGGTTGTGAGTAGTTTCGGTTTTGGTGTGGGTTGTTAGATTGATACCTCAGCGTGTCTCATAGTAGTCAGGCATGCGACTGAAGCAGCAAAATGCACGGTAAACCTCAACTCCAAAATGATGATACGCATCAAGTTTTATATGCTACGTCCTGTATGGCTAGCGTGGTTGGAATATGGGGAATTTACCTGTAGATAGAGAAAGACGTTGTAGCCCTCTGATAGTTGGGACAAGTCTTCTACAATATTATATCGGAATCAATCCTAGCCTCTCATTAAGCAATCTGATGAATTATTTCCGATGTCTGTGATAACAGACGTACATATACAAAGTCGACAACAAGTTTAAAGTCGATAAGATTTCCTCCTTTTGAAGTGAACGTCCCACACTCAGAATTGATTCCCTGAGTGCGTCTGATGCGCACTCCATTGCTAGGCTAGACCTAATTAATTTCATCGCTATAATTGCTGAAGGTGCGACTCCGGCTTTCTCATTGATGAACTTCTTGATTGTGAGAGATGATAGCCTCTGCCACTGATGTTCTCGCCCCCTGCGAACGAAGAGTCGTTTATTTTCTTTCGGAGGCTCTTGTCCTGCTAGTTTTGTCTGCACGGCAGGCCTTCGCTTCACCATGTTGGCTGCTTCTCGGGCTATTGTCACCCACGGAAAGGCAGTTACCCGTGGCTTTTGAGGGAGTTCTGTTGTATTTAGATAGTTGTATATATAAAAGGTCTTACTTCTTCTAAGTATACTGAGCACCAGTGATATACAAAGGTCCGTGCATGATGAGTATCACGTGGTTATCTTGGCTAATACTTGCCAATGACAACAAGTTCGTGGTATGGTTTCTCCGCTAGTTTTGTCGCCCTCGGCATAAAGGTTTTCATCTGGGTAATTTTCTTGGGGTGAGTTCTTGCCTTGGGGGTTTGTGACATTGATATTACCTATCGCAAACGCTGTTACGATTGGTGAAATATCTTCTATTAGTGGCGCGACCAAGTGCGCGCCTTCAATTTCTAACAAGGACTTTGCCCCGCCAACGATGGTTTTCAGGAAATTTTGCGCTACGCTCATTCGCTGCTTTTGTTCGCGTTTCGATCGCTCCATTGCGGCGGCAATCCCAAGAAGGCTCGTGTGTAAGAGGTCCCCTGGGTCAGTTGACGCCGAGGACGACGGATAGCTGTGCGCAGCCATGGTGCTGCCTGGTTTTGTGGGTTTCTATGAATGGGTAAATTTGAATATTCGAGTGGAGGTGATGATAATGGAGTAATGGATAACGAAGTTATGGTTGTAATTATTGTTTACTTGTGATTAAAAAGGGTAAGGTTTTTAGAATTGCGCATGCAGCTAACTAGCAATGACACAGTATCAGAGACAAAGTATAGAAAAGACGACTCAATTTGCAAGAAGAGAACTGATGCTTCGGATTTCATTCGCAAGTACCACTGCGAAGTTATGGTGGCTTTTTCCTCACCCCAAGTCAACCCTCACCCGTGAATACCCACCCAGGGGGACGTCTCAAAAACCCTGGGTTATCCAGACATGCCTCCATCATCCATCAACTTTCCTCCGCTCAAAATGTGATCTTAGATGTCTCCTTCCCAATTGTATTGGGTACCCAGGCTCCTCAAACTATACCAGAGAATACCACCGATTAGGGATCTTATATACCCTGTATTCGTAGTTCCATTTTCGCGTGAAGATGAGCCTAGCAGTGGTACGTTGGTAAGAGCTAGGCTGCAGCATTCCCTAAGAATGCTGCTCCTATGGTGGCAATGGTAATACCGCCATCAAGGACCTACGCGTCGGTCGCAGCTCCGCAAATGACGAAGACGGCGGTCGGAATTAGAGTCTATGGAGTTCAAAATATGCAGAAGGAGGAGCTGCTTTCAAAGGCGAAACACCAGATTAAAGGTGCATATATTAATTGGGAGGGCTTCTATCGCAGTATGACTGTATAGAAGACGATGGAATTAGCACAGTGGATTGAGGTCAGATAGAATCAGATATTCGAGTTAACTAAGATTATTCCAAGATCGAGACAGCCAGACTCCTAAGTACAAATTTTCCTCCACGCGACTGATCTGCATGAATAGCGTAATTGACGCGACTCATGTGCTTGACTCTGCCTGACTCGGATTGCCCCTGTAGCAGCTAGACACACCTAGTCATTTAACAGCATATGCGATTAGCCAGATGAGCAGCAACGACACCTAGGTATTCATTCAGCCGGCGTCCCAGAAAGACGCGGTACTCAACATATAACAAACAAATGTATTCAAAATTTGCGGCAAGGTTTTCCAGTGGAAGTAGCCGGAGGCCCTCTGCACACTAGGATTGAAAGTGGCAGAGATGCTATTGACTACGCTATCATTGAGGAGATGTAAACAGCGACTGAGGCTCAAATTCCTGGCCTTTTGATCAATAGAGTACGGTGACTACACGTCGGAAATGAGTAACTGCAGTCAAAGAAAAATGGCCACAATGGAGGATCAATCATGGACAGTCTCCCATCTGAGGCAATTGAAACAGAAATGTTACGGCACGGCCTCATCATTAAGGCCATGCTCTTCACCGCGTGGGAGTGGTCACTACGAACCTACTCACGGCAAACATATAACTAAAACAAGGGAGAATACACGCAGGCGTCGTGTGGAAAGATGGCCCGATATGGTGAATGCGCTGGTGCTAATCAAACTTGGGACTGCCCGAGGAAAATGGTTTCATGTGCAAACTTCATTAAGACCATTAGTGACAGAAAGTAGCGTACTGGACCTACAAGGGGGGTGAAGAGAAAGCTCTAATGGAGCTTATTTCTTGAATGGCGAGTATATTGAACAAGAAACCTGTGGTGGCAGCGACAACAATAGCCAGAAAGACTGATGATCAGTGACATCTTGGTCACAACTAAATAGGCAGATGGATCAAAAATAGGGCCAGGGCGTTCAAAAAAGGGAGTTGTAGCCCCAGTAGCACCAACTATTGCGACAGAATGTTGTAGTATGTGGTATATAGGGATTACGTTTGATAAAAGTGGTAGCAGTGTTGGGTGAAATCCAGTGTACATACACTTCAATCTTGTACATGGAAAAATTCTTCTCCGCATTAGATACACATATTGTCATAGCTCAATAGCTCAATAGCTGAATACCAAAAAAAATACAGTCTTCAACTCACAACAATCAGGCCACAAGGTTATCACACCCTGCGCACAATGGTAAACAGGAGCTTCAGTCCATTGACCACCCCAGGTTAATAATCACAACACAGAAGTGCGAGCCTCGGGGCTAACTCTGCGTACACTCCGAAGACCTGGGCCAGAAAAGGTACCGTTTTTTTTCGATTTCTTAAAAATTTTGTCTAATCAAAGGGAAAGTTAGTGAAATCTGGGGAAAGTTTAAATTATAATGGTCAAAAGGAACATCCTAGGCATTAAACTGAGACGTTTCTAGATGGCAGGATATTAGGTTTTGTTAAAAGCTTTTTCCCTGACAAAAACAGTTTACCATCCACATGGTTCTGTTAATAGATACCGAATAGAAGGTTAATCGAAAATAATTCAATCTTTGCAACCCCGTGGGGCCCAATTTATTTTCTCCTGATAAACTTCTAAATACATGAAGCTGTATTTAGATTTAAGCATCATTTTCCGAGTTTGTAACGTTGATTCATTGATTCATTGAAAATTTACATGAGAAATCACTCCATCTTCCTTAACAAAAATATTTAAACTTTTCATCGTTAACCGCTATTAATGCCCATTTTATTTTTGCTTACCGGTAAGGGTTGTAATCTCGCGTTATCACAGATCCAGGCTCAATAATTCGCGATTTCTGTGGAAGATCCGATTTTTTAAATGTCTAAAAATTAGTGTCGCTCATAATCAGGCAAAGGTATTTACCGTAACACTATGGAAATCACCAATGGTTTTTCCAACGAGCTTGGTCTCCCATTCGCCCATTCTAGTGTCAGTTTCCCCCGAACTTGTGTCTGGAACAACGAGAGTCATGACTAATGATTATATCCAATATGATGAAGAATTCCGGTCGTGGACAAGGCAAATATATAGTACTTTTGAGTCGAGCAATATAGGTTGATGTCGAGTGACGTCACAAAACATTTTCATGATGCCATAGCACGTGACATAATACTGATATTAACTAAATCTGTCACATGGCCACGGATATTCCAGGGTAGCAAAGTTTGAGAACGTGTCGCTGTACTTATCTGCGAACAGTAGGGTGGGAGATTGCCCGAGAACTGGAACTCAATCATAATGAAGGTCGGACCCGAGATTTCTAGATTCAGGAGCAGGCAGAAAGTACGTTTTATCTAATTTTTGGGACAAATCCCGGGATGCAAATTATTTTCAGAAGGAAAGTTCAACAACTACCGTTGTTTTCCTCAAGATTCACAACGACCATATGCGCAAGCTCATCTGTGGCTCGTATGCGAAAAATGATATCCATCACGGCCCCCGCTCATCTTGGAGCCAATAAACCAGATAAACACGTCTTGTGACCCATTGATGCTCCACATGAATCCAAAAGTCGGAAAATTCAACGGTTCGCGCCCTTGCCTTGAGAATATTAACCCACATCACAAAACTTTCAACCGGCTTGAGTGGAAAATGAGAGTTTCTCGACAAAAGTATCGTACTATTGTGGAAATGCTGCTGGGATAGACGCTCTTTATTATCTTTCCCCTTAATTAAATCCTCCTGTGCTACGGTGACATCATTGCATCCCTTGCTCCTCTGCAATTTTCAATCTTGCCGTTTGCAACAATGATGTCACTGGTACGGATAATGACGGAGTTAGTGACTCCTCGGACGTCATAATCCGCGTGGTCATTGTTGAAATTGGTGCTGCTTGGCAAGGAAGACTATCATTAACGTGGAACGTAATCACCATTGGTTCAACCACAGAGAAGCTCACATACACTGCAGCTGCGGCGAGCCTAAGGCCTCCACACACTTCCTAGAATATACTATTTCCCCTCAAAAGCTCACTCGAGCTCCGCTACCCAGCAGTGACCTGGAGAAGCACCTACTAGGTTCCTGGAAGGGGCCCCTCAGTTTCGTCAAATGGCTTGGTCTATCAGAGTTCTACACTAGGATCTGCCCTTGAGAGGGAGGTATGTTTATTGTACGACTTGAGTCTTAGACTATCTGGCACATTGGGCTCCTCTGTGACCTAGGCCACACCTTGTACAGTGCTCCTTGCCTCTTTTGTTACTTGTAAGATCATTGATAGACTGCCCGGGATGAATAGCCATTCAGCTCAGTGTTTACCCGTGGAATTCGGCCACCTTTTCCACGGAACCTTCTACCCAAAAAAAATAAAAATGGTAGCAATGGAAACTGCGTGCGCGGGAAAAATTCTCAAAAAACCTGCAGGCCCAGCCAGGCGAGGCCTAGACACCAGGACCACATGAGGTGCGCATATTCATCTATATCTCCCTTCTTTGTAACATTCGAGGCCGACAAAACTCAATCTACCATCTCCGTATCGGGTGCTGGGTACACTCCGGAAACTCATCGGATGACTTCTCCTCCATGATCAAGTGTTGGAGAAGAGAAGAGCTTTGACTCTGGCATCTAATCTAAACGTAGTGATAGGGGTTTGTGTTGAGAGATGGAGACGACATAGACGGCGAAAGCGATTGAGAATCCCCATTGAAGTGAGGACTTTGTAACTCAATCTCGACTCTACAAAATCTGCAGTGAGAGCTGGGGGCTCGTAGGGGACACCACTGATCGGTGTTGAGAATAGTCACCGATTTGCCCTTGAAAACCCATCACAGAAATTGAAAAATTACCACCTAGCACATCCAAGTGCTCTTGTATACCGCTCGTTTTTAATAAAGTTTAGCAGAGACTGAGTTTTTTTTAAATCATTTAAAGTGTATTTAGCTATAGAGCTATGACACATAACCGGTGCTATGTATAAATTTGGGATGACTCTTTTGACGTTAGAGACACTCATACTCTGGATTTCATTCGCAAATACCACTGTGAGTTATGTTCGCTTACACAAACAGTCAACCCTCCTCCGTGAGTACCCACCAAAGAGAAATTCAAAACTCTTGGTCATCCAAGCATACCGGCACCGCGAGAGATGTGGTTGTGTTTTTCCGAATTCAAACAAGCGATCTATCTCGAGTGGGAAATGTGTCCAAGCTATCCAGACTTTACTTGGCAGACCTACTAAGACGATGTACCACCGTACCATCCAACCATGGCAGTGTTTATAGTATCGCCTTCATCCTCGCAACCGAAGACTTGGTACACACAAAGCTCAATTTGTAAAAACTCCATGCCAAAATTCGAAATTTAACGCCCGTCGAGACTGTATCCATCCTCTGCATCATCTTATCAACTTGTCCTGATCCCTCTCACGCCCATCCTAAAGAGTTAACTCCCAGATTTATGCGCCACGCTTTGCTTTCTCCGTTGGGTGTAAATATCGGCGTGGGCGTGTATTTGGTGACCAGCTATCTTATCAAGTTATACAAGTGACCAGAGTACGCATATATATTTTTTTATATATCTAACGTCGTGAATTACGATCTCATGGCTCCATGTGTACAATCACTGTAGGAGTGTTGGTCTTGAGCAGCACAAACATACATGTGACATGAATGCCAATCAAGCCTTGGCATTACTCAGCGAACACCCACGCATCATGTATATCGTTCTCACTGTAGTTACTCCTTCTCCTTTCACAGCCAATCTATCTGCATTTCCCCAGGCTGCCTCTCTACCATTTCCCACCTCGTGATTTAGTGCCAGCTCAGTCGATTTTTTTTGCACCAGATTTTAATTGCGTATGCAGCTATCTAGCTATGACACAATATCAAAGAAAAGTATAGAAAAGACGACTCAATTTGCAAGAAATGCACTGATGCTTCGGATCTCATTTGCAAGCACCACTGCGAAGTTATGGTAGCTTTTTCCTCACCCCAAGTCAACCCTCACCCGTGAATACCCACCCAGGGGGACGTCTCAAAAACCCTGGGTTATCCAGACATGCCTCCATCATCCATCAACTTTCCTCCGCTCAAAATGTGATCTTAGATGTCTCCTTCCCAAGTGGAGTAGGTGCCCAGGTTAATCAGACTATACCAGAGAATACCACCAGGAGGTGGATCACAACACCTTCCATCGTTTGCTTGTATTAATAGTGTCAGCTGCACTCAGCTCAGTCTATATAAACTACCCGACGTGCCGACACTTTTAAGTAAGCCCGACATGTAATAAATGGGCCAAGGCCAGCCTGCCATGCACCCCGAACTATGAATTGAAGTCAAAAGTACTCTCCGGCTGAGACTTTTTTTATTCTAATGTACGTATATTTTATTTATAATAATTAACGTCGTGCCCGCGCAAAGCACGTGAGCTCCTCACGTGCCGGTTAGCTCAGTCTAAATGAAATTACCCGTCGTGGTATGTATATTTTAGTACAACCTGTAACATGGGCTACGGGGTTAAATCACGTGGCGCGCGTAGTTTCGTAAGGCCTTGTACCCCAAAGTAGATGAGTACAAGTACGAAGCCTCCTGTGCAGTAAGTACTGGCGTCCATCCCTTTAGCTAGTTTAGTAGGTAGCAGGGCTCCGAGCCTCGGCTCAGCACCCGCTGGACGCAAAAAAACGTAAAATTCTAGAAACTCGAAAATTCCATTTTTCCATTATTGTGATATTATAATATCTGTTGAATTAGTACATGATGTAATGAGAATTTCTTGTGATGTTGCTCTTATTTCGCTGTGTAACAATGAAGTTGGAAGTGCCAAGTATTAACTGGGAAGTGGTATGCGCCAGGTGGAGATAAGACGAATCTCAATAATTCTAGTTGGGAATGCGCATAGTAAGTTGGAAGGATATGATGGAAACTGGGTCTAAATGTTATGTATATATAGACCTTCTCATATAGGAGAAAATAAAATCATCCGAATTTTACAATATCCATTCTCATGATAATTCCTTTGCTTGAATCCCCAAATTGATGACCATCGACAAGCGCCCAAAAATGCTGCCGATGAAAAGCAAACGACCGAAGTCGACGATTTCCGTCGGCTTAGAACGGACATAAATGTGATCAGAACCCACTGGCCTCGCGCTAAAATTATCAGGCTTGTTGGCGAGTGAGGTCTTGGTCCCTGGGAAATCTACAATCCTTCTCGTTCGAGAGATAACTGATTCTGATCCAATCAGAATATAAGACAATGATCTCAAGGCCAAAACCTCCGTCGAACTGGCTCCAGAGGCAAGCAGCTCCAGGAAAGGAAAGGAGGTCGTCAAAGAAAAGACAACAAAACCTGCATGGACCTCTGCAAGAAAACTTGCTGTGCCAGTCTTTTTGTATTATCCATGTAACTAACCATGGTACATGCTTTAGGTCACGTCATAGTAGATGCACGTGACTTTGGAACTAAACCGTGGGGTGTTTATTTTTATTTTTTTTATTACTTTTGGTTCTTAGCTAACGCTATCTGTAGTGCAGAAGCATGAAGTTTATATTAAGTGTTCTAACTATGTATATATACTTGTGTTACGTAATAGTTAGTCACGTGGAATATGTTACATATCCATTACACCCCCCCAGAAACTGAATGCTTTAGATCTAAATTAATTTGATTACAGAATGATGAATGTTTTAGACGTTGCAATGATTTTGTCAAGCCATCTGCTTTGCAAATGTCTGTAGGAGTATATTTTAATTTTATCAACCCATTTTGAATCGAATCTCTAACTGTTGATTGTCGCATTAGAAAATGTCGATTCCTTGCAGATATTTTATTGGAGTTAGCGGTAATCATTGCGGCAGTGTTATCAATTTCTGTTGTAATGGGTGAAATTTTTATTTCAAATAGTTCTTCATACAAAGGCTTAATCCACTGCGCAGCAACAGATAGGGTTGTGAGAGCGGTATATTCTGCTTCACAAGTACTTTGGGCAGTGACAGATTGTTTCTTAGACCACCATGCAATCGGAGTGCCATTAATAA